CAAACAGACAGCCGGGTCAGAGCGCAGGAGCGCAGAGCACAATCAAGAACGCACACGGCATTTTCCTTCTCACTTACCGTTTGGTAGCAATAACCTTCTTTCGTGCATCCTTAAAATGTTGCACACTGGTACACTTTCGACATGGGCACTATCTACTTTGAGATCTTGTGTTTCCATAAGGCCTATGTATCTCTGGACAGGCTTTATGTATATATCTGTGGATATTTCTACATGACCTAGTTGGGGGTACAATTTCTTGTATTTACTGTGCCAGCACTTCCAGCCCCAGCGCATCTTTGTGGACAAGGCAAATAATCTAACTGGTCTTTTCTTGCCCCTGTGTCACTGTTCTATATTGTACTACAGCTGTGAGGCTAACTTATCCCTATGCTTCAGGTTGCTGTATAGCAGTGAACGTCAAAGATACAAATACACTACACAGCCCTTCAGAGTAAAGTCACACACAAGATGCAAGCGTTTGTTGTTTCCCTGGCTGAACCTGGATGGGTCACACTACTTAAGGAATGTACCGATCTTCAGGACTTCGTATTTTCTTATTTTGGCAAGATCATGAATAATGAATAATGGGTTTTTAAAGAGTAAAAGATACTCAGCAAGTGTTAAACACAACGTGCAGCTTTTAAAGACAGTGCACTGCTGAAATAAGTGGAATTATGTGAGGGATCGGTGCAGCCAGGCAGTGTATCAGGGAAGAGGGAAAGCGATCCGTCCACAGCAGCACTCAGCTGCCCAGCTACAGCATGCCGAGGCCCTGATTCACCTGCGGATTGACTGCACAGCCCAAGGATTAACCAGGGTTGTCTGGCTTCCTGTAATTCCAGCAATGATACTGAGTGTCCAGGAGTCGGCAGGTCGCGCCAGCAGTTGTGCAATGGGGGTGGCAGCTGTCCAGCTGGGAGACAGTCTGAGGTACAGACACACCTCCCAGAGGTCACACACTGCAGCACAGAGCCGCCTGGGCCTGGGCATTGGCAGCATTCTGCCAAGCCACCTCCAACAAAAACAACGGAAAATGAATAGTGAAAAGCAAAGGTATGGGGCATGGTCAAGTCTAAAGGGAAGCTGAACAGAACTTGTGAAATATGTGTTTGGTTCATCTGTTTGGTTTTGAAGCTTAAGAGTGAGCTGGACTGAAAAGGCTCAAGGCCCAACCGCCGGAAAGACTGGTCAGCAAATCTGGCATTTTGGACTGGCAGTTGAGAGATCAGCGACTGGAGGGGAGTTTGGGTTCCAGCAGCCCAGAGACAAGGGGGAACAGGGTTGTGAAAGTACTGGTAACACAGAGATAACATCTGTAGCAGTCCGTCAGCAGGCCTGTAACTGAGGGAAGAGCGAGTGTCTGTACTCGTGTGTGCACCTCTGTTCTTTTGAGGCTAACAGTGTGCTCTGCTTTGGAAAGAAGACAGGCAGAAGACCATTGATCTACAGGTGAATCGAGGCTTTAGGGTGCCATGGGCTGTGTGGCTGGGTGCTGCTGTCTGCTGCTCTTTATTATTCAGCACACATTTCTTCCATACCATTTATCAGGTGCTCCAGTTCACTGCAGATTTCTGACACAAGCATCTATGTTCATGTGAAAAAGTTCATCTGGTTCATCAAATGGATATTATGGAATGACAGACTTCAACATCAACCAACACTAGCTTAATAACTCCCAGTCTGTCCACAAGCTGTCCCCCAGGGCAAACTGTCCCCCGGCCAGTCCCCCAGGCCCATCAGTCCCCTTTCTCTCTCACCAGACTTGTCCTGCAGCTCATCCAGTCGCTCTCCTCTCTCGATCACCTTAGTGATGTTCTCCTGCATGACATCGATCACCTCATCCACCTGAGTCTGCACCCTGCCAGAGAGAAAGGGTTAACACTTAATGCAGAAATGTTTTACAAGCATGGAGGTTGATGTGCATGTTCTTTCCTTTAGAGAATGCTGTAATTTGAATAATGAGTAACCGAAATAATAACAAGAATTATATACCAGTATAAAATCAACAACATTGATTGTGTGATAAATTCAATTACTACCTCTGTTTGTAACTGTTCTTCTGTCCCTAAATTCACTGACTTGCAGCTGATCCTATTCTAAATAGTGCAACTTCTTTGCCTTATTAAAACCTATATGATTTTACATCACAAGACCCCTACCTGTTAAAATAACGGTTTCTAGGAGCCCCAAACTCCGGCATTTCATCTGTAGGAGCAGCATAGCCAGAGAGATGTATTTACTACCATCCACAAGTTACCTGAGCTTTTAACCAACAGCAGTGAAGACAAAAATCTAAATTTTTACTCACCAACTCCAGAAGAAATCCTAAGTTTTTTCTGACATCCCTGAAATACTGCTACAATCATTCCTTGACAAGTCTCCATCCAATAAATAATACTTTCCCTGCTTGATTTTTAGAATTTGCCACTACCCTACTCTTCTCTTTAATTTTTGATATAAACAGTGTGCAATCCATTGTCCGTCCACTTGCTCTGGTGAGGATCAAAGGTAAGGCAACTATTAACTACTCTCTTTCCTCCTCAGACATCAGTTTCTGACCTGTATTGACAGGCATGTCGATACATTTCTTTTAACTGGAGAAGCTGGAAGAAATGGTTTATTTGGGTGGTGAGGTGGGGGTCTCTAGGAAAGGGGTGTGGGTGTGGCATTGCCTACTATGAATCAAAATGATGAGGCGTATTTGTGTGACGTGTACGAACTAAGCAGCTAACTGGGCTCAGTCGAAACAAAACTGAGGAGACACTGAGGCTCGGTTTCACTTTTCCTGGAGCTTCAGAGTCACTTTGGTCAAGGTGCCGTTTGGATAGGTGTGGCAAGAACCGGGGGCAGCCAAGGAGCGTTCGTTATCAGCACCGCCGACAGAAAGAAGCTTCAACGGCACATTTCAAACCTGCACACGTGCTCAGCTCCCCCAGCCAGGCGCCTCACGTTGAGTAATGCGACTTCCAGGCTCCCGCTCACGGTCAAGAAAACAGACCAGTGCTGAAATCCGAAAGGCGGAACAATACAGAACTAAAGGCCAGGGGGGGGAACGCAGCTCGGAAATCATGTGTATGAAAGTGGGGGGCTGTTTTTCCAGGCTGGTTGCCCCTAAGTCGGTGTTGTGCTGGCTTGCTCCCCACACACCGTGCCTGGGGAACATCCCACAGGGGAACACAAACATGCCAGGTGGGGTCTCGGGGCGCCCCCTCAGTTTTTATTGTGCCGCTTTGTTGTCTCCCCATCTGCAAAATCCTTTTTATTCAATACCACCACTGCCTGGAAATGGAGGGAAAAAAAAAAGTAACACCTGCTGACATTACCGGTGCCCAGCCACTGCAAGCAGAGCCAGGACAGCCTGGCATGCTCAGCCTCCCAGATCAAAATCGGCGCTTTCCCCGCCTCCCTGATATATAAAGCAGGTGTCCAACACGACTCCTGGCTGAGCCGTAACTAAACATATCACGACCCAGCCGGGGGTACTGCGGGGCCTGATTGGTCAACAGCGGAGGTCTGGAAAAGAACTTAGGTTTTCTTCCAACTCCGAGACACTGAAAAACACACTGCAGCCCCACTAACAAGCAGGCAGAGGGGGGGAGAGACGAATGGAGGTGGGATCAAAGAGAGAGACCAAAAGCACTAGAGAGAAAGCGGTCTGCAGACACATTGAGAACAGTATTATGATGCCTTGAAATGCTGCCGGTTTTGGATAACAGCTCCATACAGAGCCCAGTCACAATGCACTGTGGACCCTTCACAGCAGCATAGCCTTAATTGTTTAATTTAATAATTTCACTACCAGATGCACATTTACATGTCTACACGTCTGCTAACTGCCTAATTCTACTTGTAGGTGATGTATAAAATAAGAATGCAGAAAGTGCTGTATTTGAGTCTGTTCCATATTTTGGACAGTGTTGTGTCTCTCCTTTATTTTCATAGGACAAGGCTTTTTGGATCACCCCTCCTCTATCCTGTCTGCTTCCCCAAGTCCAGTCATGATGAATGGTTGATAATTCCACTGATCCACTTTGGATCAAGTTATTCAAGACTGATCTGGTTGAAATAAATGTATTACATGTGCCTCATGACTACCTTTCTGTATTCTGTATTTTATGTTAAAATCTGTAATTAGTAAAGAATTGGGAGCTCCGTGTAAAGACAGAAAAAGGTACAAGAGTGCTGGATTGGGGTTAAATGGACTGCATTGTTTGGGCTGTGTTGTGTAATACTCTACTGACTTCATCAGCTCAGGAAAACCCCCTGGTGTGAGCCAGCTATCCTGCAGGGCCCGAGCGCTTGCTGTTGTTGTTGATGAGAAGATTACCTGTGGAAGGTGTCTATTACAGGAGCTGCCATCTGTGCCTACAGGGTGAGGTGTAATCAGAGCAGACAGCTGTGGGGACCACTCTTGAGTCACTGAGGGCTCTACTGGGCTGAGGTCACAGACGCCGGAGACAGACTACCATGGATTAGGGAGAGGGTGGCATAAATACA